CTAATCTCTCAGCGTTGATTGCTCTTAAAAAAAAAAAAAAAATTCCTCTGTTTTCTAAGAAACCACTAGGTTAGATTAGGGTTTTAAATCGAATAGCCAGCCAAGCCAAAGGAAGAGAGACGAATGAGCGCTGTAAAGAGAGAACAGAGTGAGACGAGCAGCGGAAGAGATCAGTCCAAGGAGGGACTTTTTCAGTAGAGGGAGAGGGAGAGACAAAAGCACAAAGAGAGAGAGAGAGAGAGAGAGAGAGAGAGAGAGAATACACTGGAAGAAGAAGAAGAAGAAGAAGAAGAAGAAGAATCGAGAATACGTTAACACTTTCGGAGATAGTGGTCAACCGGTTGCTCCGATGTCCAATTTTTCAAAGTTGAAGAATTCAATGTTCAGGATGTATTTGTGTAATCCAATGACCAGTAATGAAGTTGCATAAGGTGTGCAACCCTTAAGGGATTGCCCACTGTAATAGCTCCCATTTTTTAAATAATTTTATACATATATACATATAGATATACATAAATAATTGAACTAAAATTATTATATATATATTGATGTTATCGTAACATATTTTTAAATATACATATATAATCTAACTATGTCTTTTAAAGAAAAAATTCTTTTAATCCATGCATCGCACTGATGAACTACTAGTTTCAAATTAAAACATTGTTTTTTTTTTTCAGTTTTTTTCAGCTCCATGTGTTTCATATAATAAAATTTGTGTATGTGTGATATTAATTATATTTAAAAATAATGAGACTTATTATATCATATTAAAATTCACACAATATAGCAGTTCTTTAAATTGAAAGAGGCTTAATTTTATCAGGAAAGTACACTTCATGTTGGAATGAATTGCCTCTGAATCCCATTCACTTTCAATGATGGATGATGATTTCAATAGTTATATATTTTTTATCATTCTTTTTAGTAAAATAAACGTGGAAATAAATATTTTAATGGAGATAATTTTATTATAATAAATTTAACTCTAGTACTTTGTGGTATTGTACATGCAATACTCCTGATCAATGACATAAGGGAAAATTTTACAGACAATCCACTGTTGACCCATCCTTATTACGTAATCAAGAGATAGAAAAATAATTCACTCAATCTGTTTTGTTATTCTTCATTTGTTAAGTGCACTGCGTAAGCAATTTCAATTACATAATTGTTTTTCTTCTTACAACACCATATGAGCATGCCATTATGGAGTAATTCGTGTAGGTCTCAAGTTTAATTCGGATGGAATATAAAATAACTGAACTTAATTAATGGAAGTGATTTACAAAAAATTACATCTAAAATTTATTTGTAATACATTGTATTAAATGATAATATTAATTAATTGAAAGTTTCTATCACAAAAAAAATATTAAATCACAAACTTTTTTATAATTTATTACTTGGGATCGACTTTTTTACTCTTTTTTTTTTTTGGTAGAAAATTTTCATATTTCATAAAAAAAAAAAAAATTATACTTAATTTTTTTTTGTCTTTAGTCAATATTTTTAATTTTTTTTTTACTTTTTAAATTAGTCTGCACTAGACGAATCTAAAAGTAATTTTAACATAATTTTTTTTTAAATATCAGTGAAAATAAATAATATAAGGGAAAATTACAAACACTCCCCTCGAGATTTGGTGAAAATACAGATTCCCTCATGAGGTTTGAGAAATTACAATTTGCCCTCTGAGGATCAAATTTGCATAACAAATTAGGGGAGAATTTGTATGAAAATAAAAATCTCAGGGGGTAATTTATTATGGAAATATAAACCTCAGGAAAGAATCTGTATTTTTACCAAATCTTGAGGGATGTTCGTAATTTACTCTAAATATAAAAGATATATAACTTTTTTAATTAGATGTCAAACCACCTAAGAAAATAAAAGGAGATAATGTCAAAATGTGTTGATGTAAACATGAGATAACTGTTTTTAACAGTTTGGCATGTGCTATAGCATTTCTCTAATTTCATCCACCATATTATTCAAGTAATGATTACCATCACGTTGTTCGGTTATTTTGTATCATAATTAATTTTACTTTGTGACGACCAAATTTTACATAACTTGGGATATATTTTTTATTGATTCTTCTCTGATTTGTTTATATTAACAACACATATATCTGGGGTTGTAAGAAATTAAACTATAAAAGTTAGTGTTGTGAATTAATTATGTAGCATCCACTATATGAATCTTTTTTTGTCATTTTATTTTATCTATAATTATATATTTAGTTAAATTAAATAAATTCATATTTTTTTCACTACCACATTCCATGTCAATTTAGATTTTTCTCTCCTCTGATATCTCCATTCATTTGTGACTATATCACTATTTCTTACCATTAAATTAGTTAGTCTTTATTATATATGACCAACAGAAGATGCTACAATGTGCAGACTAAAAAATGTAAATATAGTATGCATTTTATAACTTTTTCATAAAATTTCATAACATAAACAAAAATGTCATCAATTTTTCACCACAAAATTCATAACTTTTTTAAACATAAAATGGCGTAACAAAAACCACCAAGTGTCGTAACAAACACTACAAAATGTCATAATAAAAATCACAAAGTGTCATAACATTATATTTCCTAACTTTAGGTGTACACCATTAATTCATTATTCGTAACTTTACCACAAAATGTCATAACACATATCACAAATAATTATAACTTACATCATTGTAGATTTCTTCGTAACGAACTCATCTTAACAGGAGATAGAAATAAATTTTGGAAGAGGGTCGAAGAAAGGAGATAAGGGGTTTGATTTGGAAGCTTAGCAAGGGAAAGGAATGGATGTGGGTGCAAAAATCGAGGATGGACTGGGCGTTGAAAGGAGATAGAAATACTTGATTCTTTCATATTATGGCCACCAAGAAACACAACAGAAACCTGATTGCCTCTGTTTTGGATAATGGGGTTGAGGTGGATGAACCTTTAGAGGTCAAACAAGCAGCTTGCTCTCACTTCCAAAATATGTTTTCTAAACATTGGAGGAGTAGGCCAAGTATTGGAGGTGTTTTTAAGAAGATTGATGCTAACCAAATAGGCACTATTCTGGAGAGAGAATTTACAGAGGAATAAGTTTGGTCTGCAATAAAAGAGTGTGACGGAAACAAAGCCCCAGACCCAGATGGGTTTAATATGTTATTTTTTCAAAAATGGTGGAAGTTCTTGAAAGGTGACATTATGAAGTTTATGAAGGAGTTTTTCAGTAATTGTAAATTAGGGCATAGGGTAAACTGTTTTTTTGTTGCTCTTATCCCCAAAAAGGAGAATCCAACCTCTTTTCTTGATTTCAGACCCATCAGTCTAATAAATTCCCCATATAAAGTGTTGTCCAAGTTTTGGCTAATCGAATGAAACAAGTCCTGCCCGCTGTGATTGATAAGGCTCAATTTGCTTTTGTAGGGGGAAGAAATATTATAGATGGGGTGCTTATAGCCAATGAGGTGGTGGATTGGTGGAAAACATCAAAGAAGAAGGGTATTATTCTCAAACTGGACTTTCAAAAAGCATATGATACTGTTAATTGGATATGTTTGCTGCAAATGTTAGCTAAATTTGGTTTTGGTTCACGTTGGATTCGATGGATGAAGGAATGTGTAGAATTTGTTAGAATTTCCATCTTAGTAAATGGCTCACCTACAACTGAATTTCGTCCGCAAAAAGGGTGAAGACAGGGAGATCCCCTTTCCCTTTTCTTGTTTAATGTTGTTGCTAAAGGATTGAATCTCTTGTTGAAAAGAGCTAAGGAATTGAGAATTATAAAAGGGGTGGAAGTGGGTTCTAGTGAGGTTAACGTGTCCCATCTTCAGTTCGCGGATGGCACTATCATATTTTGTGAGGCTGAGTGGGCTAATTGTGGCTATCAAACGAATTTTAAGATGCTTTGAAATGGTCTCGGGTTTGAAGATAAATTTTCATAAAAGTATGATCTGTGGGGTGGGAGTTGATCATGGGCTAGTTGAGGAGTTTGCAGAAATACTTAATTGCGAGAGTCATAAATTACCTGTAAAGTATCTAGGGTTGCCTCTCGGAGCCAACCCATGTCGTAAGCAAACATGGCAGCCAGTAGAGGATAAGTATAAAAAGAAATTATCGGGGTGGAAGCGAAGGATGCTATCCTACGCTGGCAGGGTCACCCTCATCAAATCTGTTCTATCTTCCCTACCTGTTTATTATATGTCTCTGTTCAAGATACTCGTGTGTGTGGCTAAGGAACTAGGTAGGATTCAAGCAAGGTTTTTGTGGGGAGGGGACGAGCTTAAAAGGAAAATTCATTTGGTAAAATGGAAAGATGTGCAGTTGTATAAGAAGCTAGGAGGTCTGGGTATCAGAGATATCAGATTAACAAATGATTGTTTGCTTCTTAAGTGGTGGTGGAGATATGCCTTGGAAGATGAGGCTTTGTGGAAATTTGTAATTACTGCCAAGTATGGTGTATCGGGGGGCCAATGGTTTCCTCTAGTGCGTGCCTTGGCTTCTGTTTCGTCTACATGGAGACAAGTCCTTGATGTGTCATTTTTAAATCCTCGACTGCATAATTTTTTTCAGGATAATGTGGAGCTTTGGATTGGTGATGGGAATAGGATCAAATTCTGGCAGGACACTTGGCTGGGAACATCAAGCCTTAAACTACAGTTTCCAAGATTGTATCAGCTGAGTTTAAACAAGGAGATAACATTGAAGATGCAAAGTGATTGCAGAGACAGTAGCAACAATTGGTACCTTAATTTTAGAAGGCCTCTTGTTGGATGGGAGGAGGAAGAGGTGATCAGGCTGCAATCTCTACTGGGAGGAGGTCTATGCTTTATGGCTAGTCAAAGGGATTCAATTAGTGGAAGGCTAAACAGTCAGGAATATTCACAATTGGATCTGTGTGTAGCTGGTGTAAACAAAGTGTTGAACCTACCCT